GATATGAGTTTGAGCTGCCCCCTGGGGGCAGCTCAATTCTAAAATCTGCTCGAGCTACTCGAGCAGGCCCTCATATCGTATATTGCGATGGATATGAGGGAAGCGTGCTTGCTACCGAAAACGGTAGATGCCAAGACTCACGGGCGCAATAGACGTTCGAGAACAGGAACGAAAGTCGGCGGCGGAGCTTGAATGCTGAACGCAGCCGCCGCCTGCCGTTCGACGTACAAAGGTGGCGCAGGTTGGCACAGGTGGCGGTAACAGACACATCTTGCTTCTCCCTCGTCAAATATCAATGGAAACTCTGTTTTTTCTGTGGATTGCATGAGTCTAGTGCTACTTGAGCCTATCTAGGTAGCCAGTATCACTTCAGATTTGTCTTTAAGAATGACCACTTCAGTATCCTAGTAGGAAAGCCGCAAGGTGACATCGATGGACAGGAGGCGATGTGATCGCGATAGAGCAATACTCAGTCATACTCAGGCTGTCTATATACTTGGTGTCCTCAAATATCTCTCTGTGCTACTCCGACATCCTCTCCTCTGTGCTCTCCACCATGACTGAACGACTTAGGAGCTACAAAGACCTTAGCAAATATCTCAAGGATGTCGGTACATCGGTAACAATTTCTTCTACTTACATGATTGCTGTCCAAGATATCTTCGCAAGGGATATTATGGAGGACGATTTGCCAGATTTCGACGATGATCTAGAGGAGGAGGAAGCAGCCGTGCTCTTTGCCATTGGGGCTGGTGTGTTGAGCCTCTCGGAGGTGGTAGGGCGGACAGGTGGGCCACGAGGGCCATACAATCAGTGGCCCAAATGTACTGCGTTCTTTGCGCAGTTAATGTATTGGCCAGACGCGGACTTCCGGCATCAGCTTCGGTAAGCATCATCATCCTACTTCATCCTCATCTCCCAATATCTCTGGTATGAGGCTGATAGACAGGTTTGAATGCTGCATTAAGCATGAGCAGAGATACCTTCGAAGCAATTGTTCGGTTGCTCGAAGCTGATCCGATTTTTCAATCGAAAGGGCGCAAGCCTCAACGTCCCGTTCGTATGCAGCTTGCGTGCTTTCTCATGCGCTATGGAACACGAGGATCAGATGCACGGGGAGCAGCACACCGGATGGGAATTGGGTTTGGCACGGTATTTCTGTATTGTCGTCGAGTTGCGAAAGCGCTACGGCGTTTAGGTTTGGATTATGCGCAGTGGGGTGGGGAAGATCGCCGAGAGAGAACGGCCACAAATATCGAGGCCATGTCTGGGTTTCCAAACTGTATTGGCGTTGTTGACGGGACATTGATCCGCCTCACCGGTGCACCACAGAATACTGGAGGTATCTTTTACTGTCGCAAAAAGTTCCCAGCGGTAAAACCCAATCATCTCTATGACTTTACCGATACTACTTATCGCTGACCATGACTGGATGCTTTGACAGATCACGGTCCAAGCAGTTGTTGATGAGTTTTGTCGCTTTCTCAACTTTGAGCTTGGGTGGCCCGGCTCTGTTCCCGACTCCTCAATGTGGAAACAGTCTTGGGTGTGGCTTAATCGTGTTGATCTGTTTGGGGAGGATCAATACGTGATGGGTGACAAAGGTTAGCTGCTCCATGTTCGTGTTCTTTATTCCTTGACTCATCAACTCCCTCCTAAACGCTAGGATATCCCTGCACACCTTACTTAGTGAGGCCATTCAACGAGAACGAGATCTCTCATGCCGCTGATGGAGCCGAGCGCAAGCGCATGCGATCCTTCAACAAGGAGCTTTCCGGTGTTCGTGCATGGGTAGAGCAGGCCTTTGGAAGATTAAAGGCTCGCTTTCCATCGCTCAAGGAGATCGGCACACCCGACGATATGAGCGAACTTTACAATGCTGTCGCTGCAATGATGGTATTGCACAACTTGTGCATTGACCTGGACGATGAGCCTTCGAGCATTTTTGCGTACGTTCCAGAGCGGGATCGGGAGCGTGATGTTGAAGAGGCACTTGAGAGAGCACGAGCAGGCTTAGATGAGAATGGTGCATTGATTCCCGGAGTGATACCAGGATGGGAGATGGACAGATGGTTGAGAGAAGAGGGTTATGCACGGCGAAGAAATCTCATGGAACATGTATTGTCGCTACCATAAATTTCGTTTAATTTGGGTGGGGGTGTTATATTACTTGGAAACTATCATAGCATTCAACGAACATTTAGCAGGCAAGTAAAAGGATTAATCCATCATCGCGATCATAGCTGCCAGCTTCTTCGACGCCTCCTCTGCGATTCGGGCGTCGCCACTGTTTGCAAGACGCTCAAGTGTCTTCATGCGCTCCTGCATACGCTTCTCCTCCGCCTCCATTGCCCAGCGCTTCTCCCTCATCTCATCCAACGACGATCGAGCCCCCATCCTCTCACCAAGTGTCTTCATAAAAGTAGAAGTCTCACTCGTGAAATCACTGACATTCTCTATCGCATTCTTCCCCTTCTTTCCTTCCCGTTTCGCCGCATCACGCTTCTGCTGCCCGCTGGGTGACTTCACCTTCAAAGTGCCACTCGCTGCTTCTTTCTTATCGGGTGTGGCGGTGGCGGAGGTTGTCGTTTGGCGATTGTTTCGACTACGGCTTTTGCCCGCCGGAGTCCGTTCATCTTGAACTCGAGCCACGTTTGGCTGCACATCTTGCTGACGAGCTTTCTGAGACTGGGTAGCTGGAGCAGCGCGCGCGCGTTGCGCATCAGCGGGAGCGGGAGCAGGAGGTGTGACAGGTGTGGCAGGAATAGGAACACGGGGGGCATTGGGAGCTCGATCAGTGGTAGTGCCTGGAGTGATTATTTCTACTTCCGGTGTTTGCTCACGCTGAGCGGCATCGAGCATCGGGGATGGCGAACGACTGGGCTGGGGAGGAGGCGAATGTGCTCGAGGCGAGGACGGTGCGATCATATTGACGTCATCTGCGGTAGGTGCATTCAAAGTGTTATGTTCGTGAGTGTCGTCCGCGGCATCCGCTTCGTGATCGCTCGATCGCTCGCGACCCTCGTCCTCGTTGTCAGAAGAGACCTGATGCGACGAAATCTTCGTCGAGCGAACAACAGCAGCATTAGAGGCAAACCTGAAGTCCAAAAGCATGAATATGTAAGCATCAGTGTACGCTGTTTGGGTAAGTGGAAGGTGCGTACGCTTCGTTAAACATTTCGATCCACCCCTTCTTTGTCCACCTCATGATGTGTCGACCTTTCAGATCTCCCACTTGCTTCCTACCAATACACCTCGCTCTTTCTATGCGCTTATCCAGGTACTCCTCTTGGTCCAACTCCTCCTCATCGGGATCTCCGTCGCCACCCGTAAACGACAGGTACTCGTTGTAGCATCGGAAAATGCCTAGGAATTCCTCCATCTTGCTCTTGATGGACGTCGGTGAACGAGTCTTCTCGAACGGACCTTCTGATATCTGATTATACCGTTAAGCTCATCATTGGGGTAAGCTGAACATTGTGGATGGCATGGACTCACCAGACGACATCCCTCTTCCTTAAACTCTTGCCACTTCGCCAGGTACTCTGCACCCTCCGGCCCCACCCAGTTTGCCACCAAATTGTCCTCCTCCGCATCTGTCCACGGCTTCCCACTACGATCGTTGACATCGAGAACAGGCGCCTCCGTTTTCTGTGAACGCTTCTTCTTTGGCGGTGAGCTGGTCGGCGTCTTCGCGGCTGAGGCTGTCGTGGTCGAGGTCGACTCTGCTCTTGGGCGCTTCTCGACGGTGCTGGATGGAATGATGGGTGGCGCAGCGTCAAAGGCCTCCGTGAAGTTCTGGATGGGCATATGATCTCGCCTGTGGGTGATTGTGGCACTGACCGCCGCGTCATGTTGATGGAACGCTCGCGTCAACGGAGGTGCACCATTCACGGTGAGCGTTCGTCTAGGTTCGACAAATGCGTAACGCGCGTCTCTGAGGTCGGGTCCTCGAGGATAGGACGAAATAGCCTGCAAGGGCCCGTGCTGCTGTGCGTATAATTGCCGGGGAAGGACCGCTTGGGGTGGGAAGTGATTGTACTGGCGCTGGATGGCATGTGCGGGTGTGAGCTGATGGTAATGTTGTGGCGCTACAACGTTGTTCGGATTATGGAGTTGGTGAGAGTATGGATTCTGGACGGGGTTGGGACGCTCAGGTGTATTGTGTTGCGCGTTGTGCGCTTGTCCTTGGAGCTGACGCCGGCAGAGTGAGTCAGAAGTGTTGCAACATATGAATATATTCATTCCAACAGTACCTGGCCTGTATTGAATTGCTGTTGGAGTCTCTGAAAGTTGAAGTCATCCATGATCAAGCTCAGTGGGAATGCAAGGACACGAGGTTGTAGTCCGAACAAGAACTCCTTCGCAAATTTTCTCCTGAATAAACTCTCATTTATCTACATTTTCAAATTGAAGGCTACAGGCTACACTACTTATCGGATGCTGCATGGGACTGTCTCTTAAAGGCAACTGCTAAGGAAAACCAACCACCTACAAGGCTTTGAGTACATCTCAGTTCACTCAACGAACCATAAAAATGGACTTTCCACGAATGGGTAACAAGAAAAATAAGATTCTTGTGGCGGGTACACAGCACCAGTGCCACGTTCGCCAACTTCGCGAAACGGCAGGCGGCGGCTGCGTTCAGCATTCAAGCTCCGCCGCCGACTTTCGTTCCTGTTCTCGAACGTCTATTGCGCCCGTGAGTCTTGGCATCTACCGTTTTCGGTAGCAAGCACGCTTCCCTCATATCGTATATTGCGATGGATATGAGGGAAGCGTGCTTGC